CAGTGGGAGGCGTGGACTGGGGACGGCTCCGAGCGTCAGCGGCACCCGGCGCCCGTGTCGGCGAGGTTCGTGGGGATCCAGGCAGGTGTGGGCTGCAACACCCCGGCAGGGAGACATGTCACCTCGCCCGCCCTAGCCCCGGAGCTGGGCTTTGTGGGGAAGGGAGCCGCAGCCGGGTTCTGAGACACGGCAGCGAGGTCAGCCCCTGGAGCCAGTGGCACTCGGTGGCGGTGACAGTTGCAGGCTATTTTGGGACGGAGGAGGCTCCGTACTGGGAGGCCCCTCTGCAGTCCTAGAGTGAGCTCGTCCGCCTCCCCGGGGTTCGGTGGGATCCAGTCGCTTCTCTGGAGAGAGCTTTCCGTTGCCAGGGAAACGTGGCACGCCCACCTTAGGAAGCCTCAAACCGTTCCCTGGCAACATTTCTGATGGCTCTCTGGACTAATAACTAATCAGATGATAATGAAATGCCATCTCTTTTTCTTAAGGTCCTTGCACAAATTGTTTCTGTAGTGATACTCCGTGTGTCTCCGGAAGACGGACATGAACCGAGGCAGAGGGGACGGGGCTCGGTGGGAGGGGCACTCGCCCACTCGCGTCCTGAGCAGCGCCAGGGCCTTGCTCAGCCTCCTTTGCCTGCTCAGTGGCAGGAAGGACCCACCCACACGGTGTTCAGAGCAGCTCGCGTGGAGGCAGGGTGCTGGGGTCCGTGGTCCTGGACACGGCAGTGCGGACGAGCTGGGGCGCCCGCCGTGCCGCCGTTGTGGATGAGTCAGCGCAGCCCCAGGGGGCACGCGCTGGGGGCGTCTGCACGGCCGTGTCACTGCTCACCGAGGGGGTTTTCAGGGGTGCTCCGGTCTCCTCCACGGCCTCAGCCTCGGTCCTTCCGCCGGAGCGTCGGGGACGGAGGGAGGAAGGGCACAGCGGTCACTCCAGGACGCTTCTGCCGGCGGGTCTCCCCGCTCGGCTGCGGCACACACTGGTTCACCCCGGGAGCTCCCGCGCCCAGGGTCCCGCGGCACACTGGACCGCTGGGGGGGGGGTTCTGAAGTCCGGTGGCAGCTTGCCCCGCGGTCTCCCCGGCTCAGAAGCACCTCAGACCGGCCGCCTCCCTGCCGTGGGCTCCGAGTGGGGGCGGCGGGGGCAGGCGAGGGCAGGCGCCGTTCGCTGGACCGTGGAAACCGCAGCGGCACCGGCTGCTGCCACCGCACCGTCTCCTCTCTCCCCTCACCGTCCCGGGAGGCCGGCCGGCGGCGCCTCTGTCCCCACCTCACCCAGAGCCCATGCCTGGCAGAGCTGGCCGGCCCGGCTGCCTGCGCCCCGGCCGGCCCTGACCCGCACTGGTCCCCACGCTCGAGCCTCTGGGGACAGTCAGTGCTCAGCCTACCCGACGGCCACTGCGGTGACCGCGGAGGGGACCCCGCCAGATCGCCTCGCTGATCAGGCCTGCTCATGGCCATTCTCCGAAATGTGTGTAGAAACGCCAGGAGAAGGATTTGACACTCGCGGACCCGAGGCCACGACACCGAGAGGGTGGCAGCCTGAGAGGGTGGCGGCCGGAGTGCTGGGGGGGTGGGGAGCCTGAGGGGGGGAGGGGGAGGAGCCTGAGATAGGAGGGGGAGGAGTCAGAGGGTCGAGGGTTGGTGGGGGCTGCTCTCTGAGGACTCCACCCGGCCAGACTTGTCTGCTGGCACGTTCCCAGGGCAGAGGAGGGTCTGGGAAACAGCCCTTCCCGGAGTCCGCCCGGTGGGGGCGTGGCCACTGCGCCGAGTCGGGAGACCTCCCAAAGCCGAGGAAACGGAGCAGCCAGGCCAGAGGCTGCCGGCCCAGCGGCCGCAGGGGTCCCACAGCACAGCACAGCACAGTGGGCCCTCACGACGCGGGGCTCTCTTGTGACCTGGGCGGCGTGTGCTTAACCTCCGGGACACCCTTCTCCTTGGCCTTCAGTGCCTCTCTGAGGAGCAGCCCCTCATCCCTTCACTCAGAAGTCTTCCTGGACAGGTCTCCGCCAGGCACCCAGCGGTGACTGGTCCCAGCGCCGCCCCGGGGCAGACGTGCTGTCGGTGAGGCACTCGGCGATGGGCACGGTTCCAAAGTGGGGTGCCGGGTGAAGGAGTGGGGCGCGATGGGGGGCGCTTGTCCCAGCTGGTCGGCTCACGAGAGCGTCCTGGAGGAGACGGGGCTGGGGGCTGCTTCCCGGGGAAGGGCCGCCCGGGGAGGGACACGCGGCCGTGCGGACGTCGAGTTGTCGGCCGGCGTGGGGGAAATCGTCAAAGCAGCCGTGTGTGGCTGGAGTTACCTGATCCCATGGTCACGTGAATCCCAGGTTCACGTGAATCGTGTTCACACAAGTCAGGTCGGCCTGTTCTCGTTCCTGCCCGGTGCTGGGCGGGCGGATGGACACGCTGTCCGTCTGGGGGGGGGTGCCCGCACGTCCTCCGGAAAAGGCTCCGGTCACGGAGTCCCGCTGGCGCGCCCCCCCGTCGCCCCGCGGTGACCGCCTGATGGTCTTCCTGGAGCGCCGCAGCTCCCGAGCCGTGTCCTCGGCTTCGCCCCGCGCCTGGAGACCTCACGCGGAGCCCCAGAGCTGTGTTCATAGGGGTCATCACATGTTACGAGACACTCTAAAACCGTGTGCTTATCAACTTGCTTAAAATAGGAATAACTTACTATAGGCTAGTATAAACCACCTGTTTTAATTGGGATAATTAGATATTGTGCTGGCTAAAAAGCCGGTTTAGCTTTTTCCCTAAAAACACATTTCTCATTTTCACCAGTAACTTCACTGATTTGCACATTCTGAGTATGTCGGCTCCCTCCCGCTATTGGCTGCTAGTGGGCAGAGGCCGGGGCACTGCCACCGTCTTCCGGTGCCTCAGGCAGCCCCGCAGCAGGGAGCTGTTGGGCCAAAGTGTCGGTGGTACCAGGGAACCTGGCAGACGGCTTCCGACACATCCGACCAGTCACAGCTCCTCCTCCGCACACTGCTCCAAGCTTTCTTTGCATTTCCGTTGCACTTTCACCTTTCTTGAAATAGTGAAGCATAATACGCCAAAAACGTTGCATGTTTTCTTCCATCTTCAGTATTTAAATGGCTGCACAAAAATTCACCAGTTTTGTTAAGTTTTTTTTAAATGCACACTGAGGTGACAGCTGTCACACTACAGTTGAACCACATTGTTTCACATGAAGTTAAAGACAGCTCGGGGCTGCTGGAGCCGTCGTGGGGACAAAACGTAGTGGACTTTCGGGCCAGCCCAGTGCTTTCACACGCACAAAGTAATGAGAAGAGTGGAGTTGGCATTGCTCTGCGTTTTTACACATCCTTCTTAACGTCCGGATTCGGTTTGTTTGAGATGGGGTTTTGACCAGAGTCTGTGAAGACAACCTGGGCTCGCGCAGGCACGTGCTTGGGAAAGGCTGGCGAGTCAGACAGCGGCCGGGCAGCCGTGGGCCCTCTCCCTGGGCGGCTGACCGGCAGTGGCGTCTGCAGCCCCGTCCGTCTGGCCGTCCTTGCTGCGCGGCGTCGCGGCGCAGGGCTCTGGCCTGCACTGCGGCTGAGTCCCGCCCGTGTGCGTTGTCCTGGTACCGGGCGCGTGGTGGTTCGGGGCCCCTGGGCTCACCGAGCTGGTCCCCCAGGTGCGCCCCATTGCACGCGGCCCCAGGCCTCAGCCTGGGGGGGGGTTGGGGGGGGCGTGCTCGTGGTGGTGGCCGTGTTCCCCAAATCTCAAATGCGAGGGGCAGAAACACTGGCCATTTCCTTCCCACCCGCAGGCAGGCAGGCGAGCTCCGCCCCTTCCGGGTCTGTGTCACGGTTTGTCTGTCGGCCGTTTGAGTGACAGGGGCACTCCAGGAAGGGAGCGCCTGGTCCCTCCGGCCCGCGGTTTTCCGCAGCGACGGGTCCGCTGAGGCGTGCAGCCCGGGCGCCGTGCGTCCTCTCCGCCCAGCCGCCCGCCCGCCATCGAGGGCCAAGGGCTAATGGGGCCGGTTGCCGCTGCTGCTTGGGCAGGTGGAGCTGGCTCTGGGGCCAGCGGGAGGGCCGTGGCCTCCCTGCTGCTGCGGAAGTCGGTTTGCTCTGGATATGGTCCGACCCCATGCTCGTTGGGAACGGAGGGACAGACAGACGGACGGCCCCTGTCAGCGCAGCTTCCCCTCCTCGTCGGTCTGCGGACACGCTAACACAGCCTGGTTACCGAGGTCTCTGGCCGGGAAGCCATGCATCCCCCGCTGCTCGGAGACGGGCAGCGGTGGGTCCCTAACGGCCCATAACCACAAACAAGCGTCACCGTGCTATTTGAAGCCGGTCAGAAAGTAAGTGTGAGCCCCAGCTGGGGTGGCTCAGTGGACTGAGCGCCATCCTGCAAACCAGAGGGTCTCTGGTTCGATTCCCGGCCAGGGCACACGCCTGGGTTGTGGGCCAGGTCCCCAGTGGGGGGTGCGCAAGAGGCAACCACATGTTGGTGTTTCTCTCCCTCTTTCTCCCTTCCCCTCTCTCTAAAAATAAAATAATAAAATCTTTTGGAAAAAAAACGCATGAGAAAGGTCTGTTTCTGTGTCTGCAGTGCTCACCTCGTCCCTTCTCTCACGGCCGGGCTCGCGGGGCGGCCCTGCCGGTCAGGGCCCAAGACCCAGCCCGTGGGTCGCAGCCCGTGGGTCGTAGCCCGTGGGTCTTTCTGTGGAGCCGTGGCGAGACAGTGCACTGGCTCACGGTGCGCCGGAGCCCCCCGTCCCGGCCCGCCCTGCTAGCGGCCCCCTGCCTGTCCCACGCTCACGCTGCGGTGGAGAGGCGGGAGGCAGGGAGATGGCTCGGGGTGCACACCAGACCGCGGAGCTGAGAGGCCACGCTCTGGACGCCCTTACGCGGGAATCGGAGACGAGCGTCGTCTCGGGGGGCGGGGGCGGGGAGGGAGCTGCTGCGCGCCGGCGCCCAGAGCTGCGTGGGGCGGGCGGCTGGGCTCCCCGGCGAGGGCCAGCGGGGTGACGGTGGCGGGCTTCCCCCGCAGGCCTGCATCGACGAGAACTTCGACATGGTGAGGTTCCTGGTGGAGAGCGGGGCCGCCGTGGACCAGCAGGACAACGAGGGCTGGACGCCCCTCCACGCGGCGGCCTCCTGCGGCTACCTCAACATCGCAGAGTGAGTCTCGTCCGCCCCGGCCTCGGGCCTCGGGTCCCGGGGACGGTCGCACCGCCCCCTGTCGCAAAGCACGGAAGCAGGGGGCTGGCTTGTTTTTAAGGAGCAAGTGGCAGGGTCAAGTCGCTGCTGAGCCCGGTTGTTGTCGGGGCGGTGCCCCCTCTGCGGGCACCTTCCCCCCGCTCCCCCCGCCCCCCTCCCTGCGAGCGGCAGCACGAGGCCGCTGTGCTGAGGCGGTGGCGGGGACAGGAGGCTGCGCTTTCTGAGGGAGCAGTGACGCAGCAGCTTGGGGGGCTCCCTAGCCTCGGGGGGCTCCCCAGCCTCGGGGCAGCTGCACGGGTCCTTGGGGAGCAGTGAGGGTTGCTCCACAGGTCGACTGTTGTTCTCGTTCCGGGGAGGGAAACTAAAGGGGTTTTTACTTTTTTCTGAGAGTGGGTTAGGAAGATAGCCGTACCTAACTGTAACCGCTTTCTGGCTCACGGCAGTCCAGAGGGCTTTCTAGAAACGAGTCTTCCGGGCCGCCGTGGGCCTCAGAACGGGTCACAAGAGGCAAAAGCGGGGTCCCGGTGCCGTGAGCCTGACCCCCGGGGCGGGGGGGGGGGGCGCCGAGCAGAGGTCAGCACGTGTCGCTCGGGAGGCCGAGGGGCAGGAGGAAGTGCCGGGCGCAGGGCGGTGGCCGTGGGGAGGGGCAGCGCAGCGGCCCGCCAGCGGCCCCCAGGGTCTGTCATGGCAGGCCCAGGGCCCCTGCTGGCCGGGCGGGTTCTGGAGCGGGAAGGGCTCTGTTCAGCGGCGTGCGGGGCGCAGTCAGGCGGAAGCGTGTGCTGAGGGCCCGCCGGGCCCACCCTTGGCACGTTGGTCTTCTGGGGAGGGGAGGTGTGGCTGAGGGGTCCTGGGGTGTGCGGGAGCGCGGGGTCCGCACCAAGGGCGCCGGGCACCGTGGAAGGAATGTCGGTGGGAGGCTAGCTGGACCGCGAGGGCCCGGGCTCCAGGAGCGAGGCCGCGCGGGGCTGCCGACCTGCACCAGAGAGAGGCCCGGGGGGCGCCGCCGTGCCCCCCCAGCCCCGAGGGGGCGCAGCGCGGTCCCTTGTCTCGCCTCCGCCTGGTCTTGCTCCCCCGCCCCAGCTCCCCCGCCGGCTCTTCGGGTCCAGGGGCCGGTCTTGTCTTTTTAACATCTCTGCCCTGGCTGGCTGGTGGGGCTCAGTGGACTGAGCTCCAGCCTGCAGACGGAAAGGTCGCGGGTTCGATTCCCAGTCAGGGCACCTGCCTGGGTTGTGGGCCAGGTCCCCAGGAGGGGGTGTGTGAGAGGCAACCACACACGGATGTTTCTCCCTCTCTTCCCCCTCTCTTCCCCTCTCTAAAAATAACTAGATAAAACCCTCACCAAAGTAACAATAAAATGGAACCCACAGTGTCTGAGACGCACCCCCTCGGGCTGCTGACTCGGGTCGGGCTGAAGTCCGGCTGCAGTTGTTGTTCTGCTTCAAGGACCTCGGGCCCTTGACGGGGCTCCCAGTGGTGCTGGGACTCTCGCGGGCCCCCCGGGGGCCTGGTCTGGTGAAAAGATGGGTGGGACCCGAGGTCAGAAGACCGGGCCGTGACCCCTGCCTCTCGCCGCCTCCGCGACTTTAGGGGCATCCCTGGCGCCGGGAGCCCCGTTCCTGGCCTGGCCACGCTCCGCGTCGGGTCTCGGGGGCGTGCGCGCGTGCAGCCGGGTCGGGGTGACGGGCAGTGTCGGTTCTGGTCGTGTCTGCGCAGGTACTTCCTCGACCACGGGGCCAGCGTGGGCGTCGTCAACAGCGAGGGCGAGGTGCCCTCCGACCTCGCGGAGGAGCCTGCCATGAAGGACCTCCTTCTGGAGCACGTGAAGAAGCAAGGTAGCCTCGGCCCCGGGAAGGGGCCCCTCACAGGCGGGGTGGGGGGCCCTGCCGGGAGGGGCACGGGTCTCCGGGGAGGACATCGGCCGTCGTGACACTCAGTCTCTTGCCCGCCCCTCACCCACAGTCGCACTCACCCGAGGGTGCGGCCGCGGTGGCCCTTCCTGGTGCCGGCTGGTAGGAGGGGCCGCTCTGGCCACGTCCCTGCGTCTGCCGGTTACCCAAAGTCGGAGAGACGTCATCCCTGGCCCTTACGGAAATGTGCCGGCCTCTGTGCCAGGGCGTTCGGCACCGGCCTCCCCTGCCTTTGCGAGTGCAGCCTCCTGCCCATTCCCCCTCCCGGCCCCGGGGCAGAGCCGGGTGCTCGGAGTCCCCGTGCTGGCTGGGACGGGCTCTGCGGCCCTTCTGGGCTCCTCCCTCGCCGGTGGCCGGGGGGCGCGGCAGCCGTTTTCACCTCCGAGGGCAGGCGCTGTGACCTGCAAGGGCACCCTGAAACGGACGGCTCCGAACAAAGGCCACAGCATAAAGGGAACAGCCCCCGGGCCCCTCGTCCTCAGAGCGGGAAGCGGCTTTGGGGGCGGCCCCCGATGGACCCGCCCTCACGCAGCTTCCCGGCACGCGGGGGGGTCCGACCCGCGTCTGCAGACGCCCTGTCTGCCCACGAGGGGGGACAGCGCCCAGCCTGTCCGCTGCAGGCCCTTCGAGCCCAGGTGGGGGGCGGTGGTGACGCCGTGGCTGCCTGTGGCCCCCGCAGGGGTCGACCTGGAGCAGGCGCGGAAGGAGGAGGAGCAGCGGATGCTGCAGGACTCCAGGCAGTGGCTCAACAGCGGCAAGGTCCAGGACACCAGGCAGCCCCGCTCCGGGGCCACCGCGCTGCACGTGGCTGCCGCCAAGGGCTACTCCGAGGTCCTCAGGTGCGTCGGCCACGTCGCCCGGCGGGCGGGAGGTGGGCTCAGGGCCCGCAGCCTTTGGAGCCGGGGGGGCGAGGTTTTCTGCTGCATTTCTGCGGCCGCCTCCCCGGACCTCCCGGCCTTCCCTCCCGTTTGCCGGGGCCCCGGGTGGCTCGCAGCCCCGCTGTCCCTCCAGGCCCTCGCGGGTGGGTCTGACGGGGCCCCCTGCTGCCCCCATGCACTCCCTGCTGTGAGGGGCCCTGCGGGACGGGCCTCAGTCTGCCGCTCCCGGGCTCCCCCGTCAGGGGCTCGCACCTGGCGTGGGCGTGTCTGGCCGGAGCTGACTGGCTGCAGGCACAGCCCCCCTGCACCAGGCCCGCCCGAGGCGGCACAGCCCCCTGCACCAGGCCCGCCCGAGGCGGCACAGCCCCCCTGCACCAGGCCCGCCCGAGGCGGCACAGCCCCCTGCACCAGGCCCGCCCGAGGCGGCACAGCCCCCCTGCACCAGGCCCGCCCGAGGCGGCACAGCCCCCCTGCACCAGGCCCGCCCGAGGCGGCACAGCCCCCTGCACCAGGCCCGCCCGAGGCGGCACAGCCCCCTGCACCAGGCGCAAGGCGCACCGTCCAAGAGCCCCGGCTGGGGCCGGCCGAGCCAGGCTCCACTCACTCTTGGGCGCACACCCCACGCAGCACCTCTGCCGGCCCCGGCTGTGCCTGGGGCTCCCATGCTGCCTTCGGGGCCTGCCCCCCCACCCTCCGTGTGGTAACAGAACCCTGAGTGGGCTCGGGGGCAGGGGACCTCGACCCCGTGGCTTTGTGGGGCGGGGTCTCCGGCAGGAAGCCGCAGCGGAGGGCGTGAAGGCCTGGCGGGCTCCCCCCCAGGCTGCTGGTCCAGGCCGGCTACGACCTGGACGTGCGGGACCACGACGGCTGGACGCCCCTGCACGCCGCTGCGCACTGGGGCGTGAAGGAGGCCTGCTCCATCCTGGCCGAGGCCCTCTGCGACATGGACGCCCGGAACAAGCTGGTGAGCGGGCCCGCCCCACCGGGGCCACGAGCCTGCGCCGGGTCTCGGCCCCGGGGGCTCCCCCCAGGCCCTCGGGGGTGCAGCCCTGCGGCGGCGGTCTGCTCCCCATGCCACCCACTGGCCACATGGAGGGCTGGCTGTGTGTGGGGGGGGCACTGCCGACCCGGCCCCGGCCCCACTGACGCGGAAGCCCCTGAAGGCACAAGCGGACGCAGCTGCATCTGCCCCTGGCCAGGCCTGAGGCTCCGCCTGTGGTGAGGCGAGAAAGGCTTTGTTTTACTTTTTTTCAAAAAAAAAGAAAAAAGATTCTATTTATGCTTAAGGAGGGATAGGGCAAAAGAGAAGGAGAAAAACATCAGCGTGTGGTGACCTCTCATGCGCTCCCTGCTGGGGACCTGGCCCACAACCCAGGCCTGTGCCCTGACTGGGGTTCGAACCAGCGACCCTTTGGTTTGCAGGCCGGCACTCAACCCACTGAGCCACACCAGCCAGGGCTCATTTTACTTTTTTTATTATTGGTTTTTTAGCCCTTCCCTGAGGACTGCTCACTGACTTTAGGGAGGATGAGGGAGGGAGGGAGTCAGCGAGAGGGGAGACACATCGGTCAGCTGCCTCTCGTGTGCACCACGACCCAGGACAGACCCGCAGCCCAGGCCTGGGCCCCGACCAGAAAACAAACCCACGACCTCTCAGCTCGGGGGACGGTGCTGCAGCTCCTGAGAAGCCCAGCCAGGGGGTCGCTTTACTTTTGGCTCAGAGACTCGTGACGGCTGAGCGCATGCAGTCAGGCCTTTTAAAGCGGTGACCTGACAAGGCGCCTTGAGTTTGCCTGACACCGTGCTGCTGTGCCCGCGTCCTTACGTCTGCGGAGTCCCGAGGAGCTTCCCGGGGTCCAGAGGCGCAGCCCTCCGCTGGGTCAGTGGTGCTCTGCCTCCCTCCCGCCTCCCCTGAGCCGGGCCCTCGCCTGCGCCGGTGCTCCCCTGCAGAGCCGGGCTCGAGGCGTGACCTCGAGCTTGTGTGTCCCGCTCCCGCCGAGGCCCCCGAGGCCCCCGTGTGTGCACCGTGGTGAGGAGGGCCAGGTCGGGGCAGACGGCATGTGGGTATCAGCCACGTTCTCAGTGCTGTTTGGTGGAACGGCAGACCCCCATGAGGACACGCTGCCTCCCGGGACAGCGGACGGGCCCGTCGTGGCCTCCGTGGAGCCGCGCACGGGGGAGGGGGAGGCCGCTGCGGCGGGAGGCGGGGCGCGGGGCGCGGGCCGGCAAGGGCTCTGACGGAGGCGCGGGGCCGCGGCGCCCCTCCCTCCCTCCCCCCCCTCCGCAGGGCCAGACCCCATTCGACGTGGCCCACGAGGGCCTCGTGGAGCACCTGGAGATGCTGCAGAAGAAGCAGAGCGTGGTGAGTCCGCGTGCGGGGCCCCGGCCCCGTCTGCCCTCGGGGAGGCCGCTGCCCCCTCGGGGGCCGTCAGCAGCCAGAGGGGAGGGAGGTCCGGGGGCCCAGGGTGGTGAAGGCCCCTCGTTAGAAGCAGGCCCTCGAGCGGCCGGAGGTCAGAAACCGCGGCAGACCAGCTGCCCCCGGGCTCCGGAAGACCAGTGTGTGAAACCGGTTCCCGCCCCCCCGGGCCGGCCTCCTGCCTGCCCCTCGGGAGGACAGGGCCCTCCGAGCCGAGGTGGCCGCTGACCCGTGCCGCCGCCGCCTCGTTTTCCAGCTCCGGAGCGAAAAGGAGGCGCGGAGTGCGCTCATCGAGTCGGGCCTGAGCGGCGGCGGGCTGCAGGGCGGACCCCTTCGGAAGTAAGGCCCTCGGGGCGCGCGGCCCACCCACTGTGCACGCGGGTCTGCGCGACAGAAACGTCCGTCTCAGCCACACGACCTCCGAATGCGTGGGGGCGTCCGAGGGCAGGGAGGGCGTGGATGCTGGGGGGGTGGCGCCTCGGGGGCGGGTGGGTTTGGAGTTCAAGGACGGGCTCAGGGCCCCCGCGGGCCACGGCAGGCACGGATGCTGCGGGGTGGTTTCCGCTCGCCTGCCGCGTCGGCGCCCAGGCTCCCGGCCCTCCCTGCCCTGTGCCGCACGGGCGGGGGCGGCTCCAGCCCCGCCGGGAGCCTCAACCTGCGGGGGGGGGCTCGGGGACGCGGGGACACGCATGCAGGCCCGTGGCCTCGTCCTCCTGGCACGGGACCATCAGGGCACCGGGGGGGGGGGGGGGACACGTCCGTCCTTCCTCTGCGGCGCTCAAGCTACCCTCTCCGCGCAGCAAAGAGAAGCTGCTGTACGAGGAGGAGACGCCCAAGGCCCAGGAAGTGGAGGAGCAAGACAAGGAGTCCAGCAGCTCCAGCTCGGAGGAGGAGGGCGAGGACGAAGCCTCAGAGTCCGAGGCTGAGAAGGAGGCAGGTAATGCGGGTGCTCCCGCGTGGGCCCTGTGTTTGGGGGCAGGTGCGCCCGCCCGTCGGAGAGCCGGGGCCCCGGAGGCCGTGGGGGCTCAGGGGGCCGAGCTCTGTGTTCAGAGGCGAGCCGGGCGACCTGGAGCGTGCGGCCGTGAGAGCCCTGGGTGGAGCCGGGGCCGCGGTCCTGCAGCCTCAGGGTGTGGCCCACGGGGGAGCCCTGGGGGGGGGCACCCGCTCTGGCCTGGGACCCTCGAGTTCATGACTGGGCACGAGTTCATGGTGGCATCCGTGTCCCCTGACCTTGGCCGTGGCGGGGCCCACGGTGAGGCATTAGCTCCTTCTGCTCTTCGGGCCCAGGTCCTCCGAGGCCCGGGTCCTCCCCATGGAGGGGCGGCACCACCCTTCCTCGTGTCTCCTTCTGTGGGCTCGAGACCCCCACGCCGGGGGGCGGGGGACCAGTGGCCGCAGCGAGAGCGCCGGCACCGCTGAGCTGCAGTGTTGGGACGGCGTCCGTTCACTGAGCCCTGAATCTTTGTGGAGCAGCCACAGCTCATCCTGAAAATGCCAGAGCAGAGCCCCTCCCAGCCCCTGCACGGCCGTCTCGGGCTGTGTTCACGGCGCGTCGAGTGCGCCCGGTGCCGGGAGGTGTGCTCCCGCCCGCCGCCCCCTTGGGTCACGCCACGCCGCAGCCCTGCTTGACCCTGGGGACCCCCTCCCGGCTCCGCCTGCCTGCAGTGCAGACTGTCAGCGCCCCCCCTGCCCCCCCCCCCGTCCCTGGCTCCCAGCGGGGCTTCCCAGCACTGTCCCTCATGAGGACTGGCTGTGGCCACAGGAGGGTGTCGCCACGTACCCACCGAAGAACTCGAACTTGACACGTGATGTGGAGGACGTTGTCAGTCACGTGCGGGGGAGCTGCGGTTCAAGCCACGGGGCAGCCTCAGCACTGAGTCCCTCCGCCCCGTCCGCCTGGGGAGTGGGGAGCGGGCAGACCCTGAGTCCCTGGGGAGGTGCTCGCGCACACGGGCCGACATCTCACCGGCTCTCCTGCGTCCTGTGTCTCCCTGGCAGATGGGGAGCCTGAGGCCGTGAGCAGCCTCTCCAGCCCGGAGAGCAAGGGCTGCGGGGAGGAGCCCGTCCCGGCCCCAGCCCTGAACCCCTCCGCCACCCCGGCCCGGAAGGTGAGTGTCTGGGAGGCAGTTTGGGTGCTGGGTTCCCGCCGCCGCCGCCACAGCAGCAGCCGCAGCAGCAGCAGCTAGAGAGGCCTCCAGGGCGGCGCTCCTGCAGCACAGCAGAGACATGCCCTTTCCCGTCTGTCCCGTCTGGGCCTGCCCAGGCCGTGCTCGCCAGCACCGTAGAGGCAGGGGGCCCCGGCCCGGAGGGCCAGTGGGTGCCGTGCCTGGTGAGGACCCCCTCTCTGGCGCAGAGATGACCGACCACCTCGTCTCCAGACGTGGTCCCCTCGGGGTCAGGGCTCCGACACGCGGGTCTGGGGGAGCAAGGGACCCAGATCCTGCCTCCGAAACAGTGCCCTCGAAAGCCGCAGGACGGCCACCAAATGACCCTGCCTGCGATGTGCTTGGGCGGCACCGGATGTGTCTGGTGGCCTGGGACCGAAAGGAAAGCCAGTGGCTGCTCTCCCCGCATCCGAAGGGGAGCTGCGTGGAGCTTGGGGGGCCGGGGCTCTCGGCCCCCGCGTCGGCTGTGGGGAGGGCCGCTCTCCTCGTTCGCTTCCCACCTGCACTTCGCTTCCGGAGCCCTGTCTCCCGCTCCTGGGGGGCAGAGAGCCCAGGACCAGGGAGCCCATGGAGGGGCAGCAGCAGCAGCAGCAGCAGCAGCACCGCCTGGGCGGGGCGGCGAGGGTGACCCTGCCCGCCGAGTGCGCCTGGCTGTGGGCTGGGGGAGGGTCCGAGTTCCCCCGAGCGCAGCCGCCGGAAGCTCCGGCCTGGCTCGACGCTGCCTTCCCGGCCTTCCCAGGCCCTCTGGGTCGGGGAGCCGGGGTTCTGGCGCCAAGGTGGAGGCCCAGGCCCGGCACCAGGGGTGTGGCTGTGACGGGCACCGCCTCGCCCATCACTCAGGGGAGCCTGGGCCCGCCCTCTGCTCAGGGTGTTGCCAGACTGCCCACCTTTCAAAGGAAAAACGCTGCATTTAAAAAGGGCACACTCACACCTGCACTCACTCCGCCTCGCTGGAGTGCTGCTGTGAAGGGCGTCTGCCCCCCAGCCCGGCCTCCGGCGCCGGCGGGGCCCGTGCCCGTGGCCAGCGAGGAGAGGAGGAGAGTGGGACCTGAGGCGCGGGCCTCGGCGTCCCTGCCACACCGTCCTGTCCCGCCCGGGAGGAGGCCTGGGACCCGACCCGGCTAGGCGGAGACGGCGGCTGGTGCCTGCAGACCCAGGGGCCCCGGACGGCCTGTGTGCCGACACCCTTGTTTTCCGTGGGTCCCGGGAGCGACCTGACGGAGGGCAGGGTGCACCTCCCCTGCGCTCGCTTCCTGAGGCCGACGTTGTTCTGGGGACGCGGTGCTCGGCCCGCGGAGCTCCTGGCGTGAGGCTGCGGCTGGAGCTCGGGGCTGTGCGGGTCCCCCGTACGGCCAGATGGGGCCCCAGCCCCCTCTCGGCGCCTCGCACACGCGTGGGCACGGGCTCACTCTGCCCGTCCCCCGGCGGGGGGGGCCTGTGGAGGCCTGGATGAGGGTCCCGCTCCCAGCGACACGCCGGCCGAGAGCGGGTGTGGAGAGGGGGTGTGGCCAGGACCCGGGTCTCACGCGCCCAGGCTCAGCACCGGCTGCTCAGGGGAGAGAGGGTCTGCTTGCCCGGGCGGCCTGGTCGGGGCAGCCGTGCGAGGGTCCGGGGCTCGTGGGCGAGGCAGCTGTGGGGGCGCGTGGCGCCTGTGGCGACGACGCAGCGCTGGCCCCAACCCCGCCCCCCCTCTGCTCACCCCCTGCCCTGCAGCCCTGCAGCGTCTTGAACAAGCCGGAGGAGCCCAGAGACGAGTCCCCCTCCTCCTGGCGCCTGGGCCTCAGGAAGACCGGCAGCCACAACACACTGAGCACGGCCACCGACGCCCGGGAGGCCGCGAGGGACCGGGGCTCCGCCCTCTGCCGCTCCGCCTCCAGCCCCCGCGTCTCCTCCCTCCTGGACAACAGGGACAAGGTGCGGCCTGGACCTCACTGGGCTCTGGGGGACGGGCGTGCGGGCAGGGCGGGCAGGGCGTCCTGTGCTGTCTTCGCCCGGCGAGAGAGGAAAACCCTGGTCTTTGGCCTGCGTCCATGCCTCCCTGTCCTTCCCGGGGCAGAAATGCGTCCGAAGCGTGAGCACTGGCCGCGGCCTGCAGGGTCCCTGGAGTGGCACCAGCGGTCTGTGCGTAAGCTGTCCGTGGCCGGGCCCCTCAGCCGGCCCCGCCGTGTGGCCGACACGCAGGCAGAGCCACGCGGAGGGAGGGGGCCGGAGTCCCGCCTGCTCGCCTGGGGCCGGGGCCGGCGCATCCGTCGGCTCCTGGCGGCCCCTCGGGCTGGGGAGGGCCGGTGGCCCGTCCTGCCCCGGCTGCCGCGTCCCTGGGTGCTCCAGGCTTTTCCCGGGAGGACCGGTCCCCTGCGTGGTTGCGCCTGTGGCAGAAACTCGGCCATGAGCCTGAGAGCCAGTCCTCCGCAGCCGCACGCCCGCCCCGCCCCACCCTGCCCCGTGTGCTCGGGACCGCGGCTGGAAGTGGGGGTCTGCGGGCGTGTGGCCGCGGCCCGGGCCTCACCCGTCTCGGCCCCACAGGACAGAGACGGCAGAAGCTACTTCAGCTCCCTGGCGCCCCGGAGGTTGGGCAGCCCTCGCGACGCCGAGGAGAAGGAGAACAGGTAGCCAGGCACAGCTGCTTCCGCGGCCCCTCCCCCCACCCTGCGGGCCTGTCCGGGGCAGCTGCTGGGCCCCAGGGTGGCGGGGCGGTGGGCAGTGGGGGCTCCAGCTCCCCCAGCCTCCCCCTCCCAGCACAGACCTGCCCCGGGTGGTCGGCCACTGGCAGGGCTGCTCCGTAGCTGGCCCAGTCAGCTCCTGGCTGCCAGTCAATAAAGCTCGGTCCTCCTCCGCTCGAACGAGGGCGTCCCCGAGCCGCGTAGCAGAGCCCCGCCCGGCCCCGGGCCCTCGGGTGCAGCCCTCCGGACACCTGCAGGCCCCTGTCAGAAAGGGGGGCTCTCGGCCGCCTCCCCTCCCAGGCCTGCTGAGCTGTGGCCCCTGCTGCGGCAGCACCCGCGGTGGCCAGGGGCCCTGTGGGGCCCGCGTGGGGCCCGGGAGGACCGGTCTGGGGCCCCGATCTCCAGCGAGGGCCTCAGAAACGCCGCCCTGCTCCTTCCCGGGAGCCTCCCACCCGCGAGGCTCAGGAGCCCCCAGAGGGCCCTTCTCCCCGCCCGCCCCATCGCCCCCCTCTCTGCCTCCTGCCGGCGGGGAGCCCGGGAGCTTCCACACGGGAGCCGGAGTGCCCTCTCCCCGGGAGGCTCGGCCGATGTGCGCAGGGCGCGGCGCCCGTGGCCGTGAGCCGGCTCTGAGGTCGGCTCCCAGCAGCGGCCTGAGCCCTCGCTCAGCTCTCCGCCCGCCAGCGAGGGGGTGCCAGGCCCAGAGCCCGCCTGCCCCGGAGCCTCGTGCAGCCCCCCCCCACCCCCCCACCCGGCTCTCCCCCGCGGGCGGGGGCACGTGCTGTGGGTGCCGGCCCGCGGCAGAGGCCAGTCAGGGGCCTTCTCTCCCGCCTAGCAGAGAGTCGGCGGCGAACCTGGTGCGGAGCGGCTCGCACGCCCGGCCGCCGCGGAGGGACGAGGCCAAGGGGCACGAGGCGCCACAGACCGCCACCCCCTCCACCTATGTGTCGACCTACCTGAAGAGGTACCGGTCCCCCGGGCGGGCGGGCGCGAGCGAGCGAGCGTGGGGTTGTGCCTTTTCTGGCCCACCAGCAGCAGCACAGAATGAGTCAGGAGGGAAGCACGTTTAGATTTCGTGGGCGTGGCAGTCGGCTGATTTGAAACTAAAATTGACGACTTTCCTTCACTGCTGTGGAGTGAGCTAACCGCACACGCTCACCGCAGACGGCGGGAACTCACGCCCGCCCTCTGGGGCCTGTTCGGCCGCCGGGCGCCGCCTGCCCCCAGGGACGCCGCGCAGGCCGCGGCCTGAGAGGACCCCCACCCGCTCAGGCTGTCCTGGGGGGAGGGAGGGAGGGAGGGAGGGGGACCCCGACGGGCGGCCAGGGTGGGAGAGGGGCGGCTCTGCGTTGCGCTGACGCAGCTCCACGCGGAGGCCCGCTCATCAGGGACTTGAGTTGTTTCCTTTGTGACTTTGATGGCCCTCAGATCCGCGGAGATGAGCAGCTCGCAAGCTCGGTGCGGAGCAGGTACCCGGGTCTCCCCCCTCCTCACCTGTGCCCCTCTTCTGCAGCCTCCTCCTCTGCCGCCTGCCGGCGCCTTTGCCGGCCCTCACCGCGCCTCTGCCGGGCCGCGGGGCTCTGCGACCTGCCTCCTCAGTGCTGCACAGCGGCCTCTGCCTCGGAGCTGGGGGAGTCTGGCCTCACGCTCGCTCTGAACCCTCTCTCCGCCCCCACCCTCAGCTGCCCCTCGGCGCCGGGACCCTCAGGGGAGGCAGCTCCGACCTCAGACTGTGTTTGGGGTCAAAGCCCGTCTCCACCGATGGGCAGAGCCTGGTCTGCTAGCTCGTGGCTGCCGGGTGGGACGCCCGCCTGGGGGCCTGTAAGGAGGGGAGAGACACGCCCAGTGGGCCCGGTCCCCCGGCTTCTGGAACCCGGCGCCCCGTGGTCTCTGAGGCTGCGGTGTGGGTCCGCACAGCCCACGGCTGGGCCCAAGCCTGTGCTGAGAAAACGGTGTTGACCGTCCAGCCAGAGAGGCCGTGGCCCTGAGACGCCCCGGCAGGCCGTTCTTTTGTGGGGGGGGTGTCACACTCTGGCTGAGGGGGCGGCGTGGGGTCCGGCCTCGCCGCAGGGTGTGGCTCGGGGGATGGAGGGGAAAAGGGCGGCCTCAGGGTGGGGCGCAGGCTTTGAGACGCGGGTGTTCTCCAAGAGCAGACGGAGGGCCTGCTTCCTGCTTCCCGCTGGGTGGGGGGGGGGTGGTCTCTGCAGCCTCTCTCCCGCAGCCCGAGCCTCTCTCAGTGTTACAGCGTCTCAGGGCCTTTGTGAACGCAAGGGCTCTCCCGCCGCCACTGGCTGCAGAGGGAGTGTGAGCAGGCGCTGGCCACCAGCTGTGGGAGCCTCGCCAGCTCCCCGGGTTCTGGCTGGCTCTGGTCTTGGGGCGGAGGTCCTAGTTCACGGCCCGAGGAGACGCATCTTTTCAGAGAAGGGTTCGTAGCTCTGTTGGCCACCCCTCAGGTGTCTCATTACTGTCACGGTCAGGGACAGTTTTTTAAAGCTTTTCACCCAGATGGTGGCTTGCTGCGGGCGAGACAGCTCTCGCTGGCGTTCGGTTGGGACAGAAACGCTGTCCTGTGTCACCCACACGTGTGGCTCTCTAGGCTCAGGGCTGGAAGCGCCCCCGGACACCTCCTCCACAGAGCTCCTCCACTGGCGTCCACGCTCGCGCTCTGCGTCTCAGCCGCCCACTCGCCAGGCTCTGGGTCTGACCCGGCCTCCCAGAGCTGCTCTGCAGCCGGTGGGCACGGGGGCGGGGGGGTGCATGGCCGCCGCTCAGGCTTGGTCGGGGACGGGTTTTTCTGGCACACCTCCTGTCCTCCCTCTCCCGGCCTCGCCACCGCGGGCGCTCTCGGGTGCCTCCGGCCTGCGCCCCTCCTGCCCCCTCCTCGGGGGCCGGGAGACACCTGCTTGCTGCCGGCAGCCGGCCCCACCGGGCCTCTCCCCTGCCAGGGCTGCGCCCTCTCTGTCCTTCTGTCCCTCTGCATCCCTCCCGGGGCCGCACGGGGGCGGCCGCCTGTCCCCAGGGGGGCGCCGTGTGTGTGTCTTTCAGCGCTGCCCTTGCTCGTGGCAGTGGCCCCACGCGTCCCTCCGTTTCGGCCGTCCGTCTCCTGCCGCCTCGCCCGCTCCCGGGGCCCCTCCACCCGTCGGGCAGCCGGCGGCAGCCTGCTCTTCTCGCCCTGCCCGGCAGCGCCGCCGCCGCGCGCCCGCACCACACGGCAGGTGAGGCCTCTTGGAGCCGCTGCGGCGACAGTCGTCCTCGCCGTCGCCTCTGGACGCACGAGACGTGAGCGGAAGCGGCTCCGTGGCTGCGGCAGCGGCGTGAGCCCCCGCTGCGCCCCCGTCGTCCGGTGAGGCTGCCTCTGCTGCGACGTCACCCGCCAGCCACAGCCGCCCGTCCGACAGTCGTCACCGTCGAACAGTCGCCACCGTCGAACAGTCGCCACCGTCGAACAGTCGTCACCGTCGAACAGTCGTCACCGTCGAACAGTCGTCACCGTCGAACAGTCGTCACCGTCGAACAGTGGCCACCGCGCGCTGGGGGGTGGCACCGCGGACTGGCTGCCTCCGTGCCTCCGTCCGTCGCTCACCGGCCGCGGCCTCGGCGGAGGGTCACAGCGCTGCGGCAGACCACACGCGGAGCCCCCCGTGTTGGGGGAGAGCCTCCCGGAGACCCCCAGCCAAGGAGCGTCCTGCTGGACTCACCGCGTGCGGGGAGGACAGTCGCGTGTGGGTCCGGGCCCTGTGCCCGGGGCGCGTCTCCTGGACTGTGGGTCGCCTGGGGGCGGGCCGTGTCCTTAGGGAGGCACGCAGGGTGCAGTGTGGTCTCGGCGGGGCCCGGGGCTCTGTGCGCGGCAGACGCCTTTTTCCTTGTGGGCGTGGGCACGGGGACTCCTCTCGGGGTCTCGTCTCTGACACACAGGAAACGCAAGTGTTAACGATGGTGCTGCCGCAAGAACACGCCGATGGCGGCACCTGAGGGGTGGTTCTCAGTCTCTGGCTTCTTTCCTGAAAGTCCGTGGTGGTCCCTCATTTGGCCAGAAGGGGCAGGCGCACAACGGCCTGTAGCCCGTGTGATGATGCAGAAAGGTGTAGGGTTGCCATAGCCACGCACCTGCACGGGCAGGTAAACGGCACCGCCATCGAGGGGGAGGCTGACGCTCGGGGAAGCCCCTTGGCTGACGGCCCAGACCCGGGCCTGGGGGGAGCAGCAGCTGCCTCTGCTGGGCTCCGGGCGTCGGGCCAGGCCCCGCCCAGAAATCACACAGGCATCCACTTTGCTCACACGCACACGCAGCAGCAAGTCCAAGCAGTGATGGCCTACATGTGACCGAGGTGCTGGTTCTCTTTCCTTCTCGCAAGAAAGTCCAGAAATAAGCCGGGCTGGCCCCCAGCTCCAAAGTCACCAAAGGACCCAGGCTCCTCCTCTTCACTTTACAGTGCTTAGGTGGTTTCCGTTGGTTGCCTCATGGTCCAAGATAGCTGCCAGAGCACCAGCCATCACGGCTGCCTTCTAGATAGGAAGGAGGAAGAAAGGGGGAAATGTGCAAAGAAGGATGCCTCTGAGAATGTTCCCCAAAGCACTATCTTCTGCTTCTGTATCACTGGCTACCTCTGTCCGCCAGAGAGACCTTGGAAAAGGCGGATTTCTGACCAAGTGCCTCCCGCTCTCAGCAGCATAGCGGCTCTGTTACCGCAGAAGAGCAAGGAAAGGAGTGTGTACTGGACAGCTGGCTGCCTCGGGCACACGCGTCAGTTAGCGTCCCTCAGGGAGCCGTCCCGTGTGCGACACGCCACCCTCAGGCCACCGACACGGAAGCGAGACGCCAGGGTCGCCCAGCAGGCGGGGCTGAGGCAGGCCCTGGGCCCCGGCTGTGCGTGCATGTGGCTTCCACACGCCTGTGCATGGGGCCGCGGACCGGGCGCTCCGACGCGCTGCTGCGCCGAGTCAGCACAGGGCCTGCCTGCCCGCGAGCACACCGCCCCGTCGCACCCACTCGTGGGCACACACTCGTGGGCACACACGGCCGTCCTCGCCTGAGGACGTGGCTGTCCTCTGCGTTGCTTTCAGCGAGCGGGGAAGAGGGAGAGAGACCCTCACCAGCGAGCGGCCTCCTCGAAGTCACCCCGGCCAGGGCCCGCCGTCCCCGCTGTCCCCGCCGCACAGGCGATGGTCAGGGAGGTTCAGTTGGCCGGAACGTAGCCCCACGTCGCCTGGAGCCTCTGACCCTCGCTAAGAGCCCCCCCCACCCCGCTGCACACTCGCTGAGAGGAGAGTGGGTGGCCCCAGCCCAGGTCCCGCCCCGCGCAGCTCCGGGAGCCGGAGCTCCCCTGCAGACAGGCGGGAGCGTGTCGGTGCCGTCAGCCCGGGAGAGCGTCAGTGAGGCGCGGACAAGTGAGGCGCCTTTCCACGGCTCTGGTCCCGGCCGATGTCGCTGGCACTCCCCGTGCACATCTCGAAGTCCGCGGAGTCCTTCGCCTCAGTCTTTTAGTTAGGAGGGGGGCACGGTGCTTCGCCTTCTGTCCTCCTGGCCCCGCCTCCAAGCCGCCCCGTCCCGTTCCCGCACCTGCTTCTGGGCGAGGCACCGTGTTCAGGCCTCCAGGGCCTGCGGGCCTGCTTCCAGCTTGTCCTGATGCGGTTGCTTGGAAGGGAGCCTGTGGATACGTCTGAGCACCCATGGTCATGGCCACGGTGCGGAGGGGGGACACCCAGCTTCGCAGCGGCGTGACGGCCGCTGCTTGTCCCGTCTCGGTGGTGGGGGTCGGCGTTGGACCGGCTGCCTGAGCAATGGGCCGCGGCGTGGGCCCGGAGAGCCGGCGGGTGGGGGCAGGGGGTGAGGGCGCAGAGCCTGCGGTTGGCCCCTCTGCGGAGAACAAAGGCCCCCTTTCGTGCTGGAGGCCGTGAGCACCCACAGGCCCTGCTGCGGGAGCCCGGCTGGGGGTGCTCCGGCCCGCGCACATCAGGAGCTCGGACGGCTGGGCGAGGGGCCGGGTGGAAGGCACCGCGGCTGAGCGGGGGCCAGGGCTGACCGTCCGGGCCGAGCGGGGCCACAGCCCACTGCCGAGGACCCGGGCAGGCGGGGGAGGTGCAGACTCGGGGGCTGCAGGGCCGTTCGCGGGGGTGGGTGTGGGGCCGGGCCGGGTGGCACTCGGGAGCATGGAAGCCCTCTGGCCTGTGTCACTGCCTTGCCTGGGGCCTGAGCTAATTTTTTTAAATTTTAATCTCAAGCAAAAAAAGAATTTATAAAAGGTCACTTCTCAGGCAGAGGATGTCAGATGGAACATGTAATCACTGTGTTCTAAGATTTAGGAGCTCAGGACTTAAAAAGCCAACCAACGACCAAAGTCTGGGGGAGCAGGGTCTCTGGCTCGGCCTGCCTCGGACCCTACGTCTCTGCTCTGTGGGGCGCGCGCTGAACACACTGTCTGTGCTTGTCCCCTCTGCTTCCAGGGTCCCCAGCAAGTCCCCGGCTGACGCCCCCGCAGAGAAGGCAGACTCTGTTTCGTCCAGCACCCCGCTGTGCGTGATCACCAACCGCCCCCTGCCCGGCTCTGCCAATGGGCTCTCGGCAGCCACTCTGCTGTCCGCGCCCGGCTCGGACTCCTCCGCGGCAGCCAGGGACCGGCGGAGGTGGGTCACTCGGCGGTCTCGTCTGGGGTCCTGTGAGGCGGGGGTGCCAGGCAGGCGGGAAGCCCTCTCTCCCCAGTCTCAAATGCGGCTCCGAGGACAGACAGACCTTCATCACGCAGTTTGGGGTCTGGGTTTGCCTCGGGGAGGTTGCCGGTGGAGGCCGCCATCGTTTCTGATTACCCGATGGAGATGCCTGTTCGGTCGCGGAGACAGGCTGTCTTCTCCGTGTGTGTCTTCTGCCCATGTGTCTGCTGAGGTCATGGTCAGGCGCGCCCCCCGCTTCGTGGTGGGGACCCGGACACGGGGAAGGACCCTCTGCGGTGTCCCGGGTCGTCCCCGGTGACTGGCAGCAACGAAAGGCAGTGATGAGATAAAAGGCTCAGCGGGGACGTGGAGTTGTGATCGGCGAGGGACGGACCCGGGGAAGGAGGTGAAGACTCGGAGGAGGCGGCGCGACAGCGGGACAGCGGCTGTGCGGACGCCTCGGAGAGACGGACACGGGGGAGAGGCCGGGTGGACGCCGACAGAGCTCCTCGGTGCGGGGCCCGGAGACCCGGGGAGACGCGGCGGAGGGGAAGGGGCCCGGGGTGGAGCGCGGAGCGCGGGGAGAGGGCGCTCCCTGGGGACAGCAGCCCCGCCGGAGCCTGGGCCGGGCCCCCTCCTCAGGTGGGAGAGGGCGGCGGGCTCTTCCCGAGACGGAGATCGGAAGACCGCAGTCCGACCTCGCTGGATTCCGAATGCCTGGAGGAAGGTTCTGTTCTGTGGGTGTGTGTCTGTGCGTGATAAATCAGAGAATCTTTGAGATACGATAAGCGGAAGTTCTCAGATGTTTATTGTACAGAACAACCTCACTCGGGAGAAAAAGTGAGAGAAGATGCTGAGTCGACGAAAACAGTGTTTTCTTCTTCCCCTCCCTCCCTCCCTCCCTCCCTCCCTCCCTCCCTTCCTTTTTAAATGTCTTTACGTAAAAAGAGAAGGAATCCCACTGCTGGGCCAGCAGACCGTAGAGCCCACGGCTGCGATCCCCCGGGGCCGCCCTCTGGGGAGCCTCGCTCGCCGTGGGTCCTGGCGCGCCGTGCTCCGCCCGCACTGGCTCCGACTCGGCTGAGATGGCCTCTGTGGACCGAAAGCCGCCGTCCGTCGGCTGAGAAAAACCCTTCTGAGCACGTGAAAGCAGCTGGTCACAGTCCTGGAGGGAGAGGCGGCGTGGGCCCTCTGTCAGACCGAGCGTTCTCCAGAGAGACCTCAGGGGCGGCCGCTTCTCCTGGGACTTGCGCAGCCCGCGGCCCGTGTCCTGGACGCTGTCTTCAGGCCGCACCTGCTCTCCGGCTGAGGCCGGGACCCACTTCCGGCGGAGCAGCCCGCGGGCTGGGAGGGTCAGATCGAGGCGCGGCCGTGGTTTGTCCGGCAGGGATGCTGGCGGGGGGACTATAGGAGGTGTTCGACTTTGCTGGGTGGCAAATGCCGCCCGGGAGGTGGGGGACGGCAGAGAAGCGGGAGGCGTAACTCACTGGTGGCCGGTGGTGGTGAGACCCTGCTGCGGCCGCTGGACAGCGTGTGTGGGAGAGCCGGCCCTCTGCCGGGGACCAGGGCACAGTGTCCTGGGAGGGCAGTGCCCAGGGGGACACCAGGTGAAGAGAGGGGCGGGCGTGCGGGCAGAAAGTGCCGAGAAGACACCAGGGCAGGAAGTGGGGGGCGCCAGCTGCCTGGGGGGCAGCGGGCGGGGCCGGTCTCACGCCCCGGGCCGTCAGGAGCGACAGGGAGAGTCATTCGGAACAGCGTCGCGGAGACAGGGTTCGCACACTGCGTCACCGACGCCCCTCGGGGGGCCATCCTGTGGTTCTCGGCGTGCTCACCGGCATGTGCGGCCACCCCCACGGGCAGTGCCCGCTCGGGCCAAGCAGTGGGGCCGAGGGGCGGCCGGGCCACCTGCAGGAGGCGGAGTGCGTGTGCCCAGGGGGCCGGCGTGGGGGGGGAACGCGGGAAACTCACGGGGCGGGCTCAGTGCGCCTGCGCCCATGTGGGGCAGGTTCAGACGGGGGAGAAAAGCCTTCCGCGGCCACACGGGCCCGTGACGGCTGGTTAGGTGAGGGTGCCGGGGCCGCCCCTCTTGGGGTGGGGAGCGGGGGCGCAGCGGTTCCTGCATGTGTGGCCCCGGGGCGGGGCGGGGCGGTCGTCTCTGGCACAGACGTGGAGACCGGGGCCGCGTGGGGCGCCCCGAAGTCTCGGAGCCGCGGGAGCAGACCGAGCAGACTGGGCGCCCCGTGAGGAGCTTGAGCTGCCGCCCCCCTGACCCCCGCTGGGGTGCCCCTGGGCGTGCCAGCTGTGGGGTGAGTTCATGGGAGAAAGCGTCCTTTGCACAGTTGCACAGTTAAAGCCATTTAGTTTCTCCCTGTAGACAAGCACGGGCTGAGAGAGAAAAGCCACGTTTTGAAAACAGCTCAGTTTTCCTTCTGAAGGAGTCTGCTGGGTGCAGACCCCGCTCCTGCGGCTGCCGCTCTCTCGCGGGGACTGCACGCGGGGGAGGTGGGGGCCGGGCAGCGTCCCCGGGCCTCCGGGAAGCCATGAGTGACCACTGGGACCCGAGGGGCTTCAAAACCGGCCGGGCCCATGGCCCGTGGCCCCGCCGTCTCCGAGGTCAGCGCCCCCGCAGGCACCAGGAGCACGTGGGCCGTGGACCCTGAGCAGCCGCCCTGCTTCTCCGAGACGCGAGTTCTCAGAGGGGCCTGGTGGGTGCGCTCACCCGGCGACCAACAACCCGGCCACGGGGTCGGACGGTCGCGGCCGGGAACGTGCACGGCGGGCCGTCCCGGCAGCTGCAGGCGGCCGGTCTGCCTGCCCGCCCCCCGAGCCCCGAGGGACGGTGCATTGCCATCGTAACGGGGCCGCAGGCAGCAGGGCTCGGGGGCCCTCTGCGGCGGGGACGGCGGTCCCGTGCCGTGAGGGTGGCCGTCGGCACGGAGGGGCGCACGGAGGGTTGCACGGAGTCGAGACCCGGGGTGTGCAGGGCTGTGGGTGCCTCCTGAGCCGGGGGCGGGCTTCTGGGCCGACGGCCCCCGTGTCCCGAGGAGGCCGTGCGTGGGCCCGCCCCCGCGGGGTTCCTTTTCTCTTCCTGCACAGCTCAAGTGCGCGCACGTGGGGCCCGTGCTGGGTGGGGGCTCGGGCCCCCTGAGCGTGGCATGGCGCCCGCCGCCCGTGGTCTGTGCGGAGGTGTGCGCCCGCCCCTCCGCTCCCTCCTGGTGGAGCCCGCGCAGCCCCCTTCTCTGGGACGGGGACGAAGACTTGGGTTCGGCAGCCCAGCGTGTGGGTCCCCGGCTCCGGGCACCCCGCTCAGCGCCGTGGAGCCGTGTGGCTCCCGAGACCCACGGGCTTGGCCGCTGGGAGGGGTGGCGGTCAGCCGCGAGGCCGGGCCTCCTGCCGCCGGTGGCACACGGTGGGGTTGGGCTGGGCTTCCAGAGCTCCAGGTTTTCCTCAGCAACCGAGTGTGAACAGCCCCGGGGCTAATACTAGCGCCTGAGAGAGCCGGCCCCTGAGCCTCCGGCCCTGCCCCTGCACTGCTGCTCCTGCTCGCCAGCCCCTGCCCTGGATTTCGCGGCTTCCTTTCTGTGGGCGCCCCCCCGCTCTCCCCTTTGTGCGGATGGCTACACCGGCTTTTCAGCACAAGAAACTAAAAATGGGTTTTCTTTCCCCAAACAGCCCAAGTCCGGCTCCGCTTTGCTGGGTCAGGATACAGTCAGTCCTGGCCGAGTCCCTGGGTGTCCCCATGAGCCTCGGGGTTACTCCTGCTGGGTGGGGGGGCGGTCCGCAGATGAACTTGGCCTCCTCCTCAGAAGGCTGGCAGTTGAAACCGAGCGATCAAACTCGGAGTCACGGTTTCCAGCAGCCGTTGGACTCCTCTGTCCGTGGGCAGGCTGGACGGGCGGGCGGCCGTCCGCCAGGGGGAGGGCCCTGGGGAAGAGGCGCCTCCTGTCCAGCCGACTCTGCGCCGAGAGTGCCCCAGCCTGCAGCCCCCAGGGGGTGGCTCCTGCGGCTGGCGCGGACGCCCGTGGGACCCCTGCCGGTCGGCGAGGGCGGCTCAGCGCTTACCCGCACCATCATCCTGGTGCCAACCCCCCCGCCACATCCTGCACTCGCCGTCTGGAGTCACTGCGTCACCGCCACCCTCCATGCATCTGCGAGAATGCGGCCACACGGCCACTGGCCCGCGTGTCTCCGGGACGAAACCTGCTTCCCTGCGTCTGGAGGGAGGGGACGAGCCGTGGGGGCCGGCCGCAGTGGGCATTGGCTCCGTGGTGCCGTCCTGTGGAGGAGCCGGGGGCAGCCCCGCTGTGGGCCTGGGGCTGGACACGGAGGCGGAGAGCTCACGACGTGCACAGGCTCTTCCAGTGGCGGGGGGAGCGCGCCCCATCGGCAGCTGCGTGAGGGGTGCGTGGCCGTGAGTGTCTGGAAAGCCCCCGGCCCGCGCCCCTGCATGGCCTGCAGGGCCGCCAGTGATGGGCGGGAGGTTGTCCCAGAGAGGGTCTGGGTGCAGCCCCTGGGGCGAGGCCCCTGCGGCCGGGCTCGGGGTCTGTGGTGCCAGCCCGCCGCTGCTCCCAGTCTTTCTCTGGCTGACGCGGCCATTGGAACACGGACTCGGTCTCCTCGAGCGGTGGCCTCTGCCTCACGCGTGCTCAGCACGGCAGCCCACACTCGGGGGTGGGGGCCTGGGGGCTCTCTGTCGGGTTCCCTCCACCGCAGAGCCTGGCTCGGGGCAGGCTGCGGCCGAGTCCTGTGTGCGGTGCCGCCGTGCCCAGAAGGTGGCAGCAGAGGGGCGTCCACAGGCGGCCGCGCTCCGGGGAGGGGTCCATCCGTCGGAGCTGGCGTCCTCCAGGGGGCAGAGGACTGGACGGAGGGACAGCAGCCGCTCTGTGTCGCACCCGATAGCGTCCCCTGGGTGGGGCACCCAGCGCAGCCTCGCCCGCCCCCCTGCAGAAACACGGAACCACCCCAGCGCCCCTGAGGAGCCCGGGGTGGGGAGGGGGTTGGGGGGTCCACCTCGCGCGGAAGCCACATCAGCCGCCGGGCCGCCCGCCGGGTGGCCTGTGGGAGGCGAGCCGGGTCCCGAGTTCGGGCCTCGGGAGTGCGTTCCAGGGGTGCCGGCGGCGCCGCCCAGTGCAGGGGCCGGCGGCCGTGGGTGCTGCTCTTCCGGTGGAAGCCGACTGGAATTCAGATTTCAACCCAGGCTTCCCCGTCATTCTGGCCGCGTCTGAGTGCTCGGCGGCCGCCCGGGACCGTGACTTCACGGTGGACAGCAGGTGTCAGGCAGTGCCCTTTGACCTTCACCCCCGAAGCGGTGGCCCGCGTAGCGTGGCGAGGGCGCGTCCCAGTGGGGGACTTGGAGCCCATCTGTCCAGAACCTGCGTGGACGTGGTCACCGCAGTTCCGACTGGATGGGACCGTCCCAGCGGCAGCCTCACCCCGGCTTTGCAGGTGAGGACGCCCAGGTCCTGAGAGAGTGGGTGACTCCCCGACGGTCACACGAGCAGCTCATGCCGGCTGCCAAGGGGGGTGCGCACCCCCCGCAGCCCCGCCGGGCCCCCCGTTCCCAAGGAGAATTCGCCCTGGTGTGTGAATGCGCCCCATGTCCCCCCCCACCCCCAACGGTGGGCACTCGGGTGGCCTCCGCGTCTCGGCTGCTGTGAGTGACGCTGCAGGAACGTGGGGTGCAGGCAGCGCCTGCAGCGTGGAGGACACGCCCAGAGGTGGGCTGGCCGGATCCTGTCGTGGTTCTGCTCTCGACTCTGAGGGAGTTGCCCACTGGTCTCCACGGGGGCTGCGCCAGGGACCAGCCCCGCCCACAGGGCACGGGGGCCGCCTTTCTCCCACGTCCTCACCCGCACCTGCGGCTTCCTGTCTCTTGAGAACTGCCCTTCCGGCAGGGGCGAGGCGATGGTGCGCGGTGGTCCTGACGCGCGTTTCCGCAGTGGTGGCGGCGTGGGGCGCCTTCTCACGCGCCTGGTGGCCGTCTGCGCATCCTGTTTGGGAGGACGTCTGTTGAGACCCTCTGCCCGTTTTGGGACGAGGTTGCCAGAATGGGAAGCGTAGGCCTGAGTGATTAAGGAAATCGCACCCTCGCTCCAAACCTTCCCACAGAGAGCACCGTAAGCTCGGGCAGCTGGGGGGCGAGCTTGCAGCTGTCTGGGGAGGGAGGAACCGCAGTCTCTCGCGAATTCCCACCGGCCGGAAGCAGGCAGGGAGGACACGCGTGTGGACGCGCACGGCCTTGCTGCGCCCCCCCCATCCCGCCCAGGGGCCGAGAGGCGGCACTGCAGGCCGGTGTCCCGCGGGCACACGGTGGGGAACCCACGCTGGAGACGCCACCTGTGCAGAAGGAGACAGTCCGAGCGGCCCGACGACGCCCACCGTCCTGGGGGCGGGGGTCGCCAGGGGCGGGCGGAGGCCTCACCTATCCCGCCCCGCAGGTCCTACCTGACGCCCGTCCGGGACGAGGAGGCCGAGTCTCTGCGGAAGGCGCGCTCCAGGCAAGCTCGGCAGACCCGCAGGTCCACGCAGGTGAGGGCGGCCCCCTCCCGCCCCTCCCCGCCCTGGGACAACCCCCGCCCGGGCCTGGCGGCTGGTAGATGGGGCGCTGTCACCCGGCCGCGCTGAGGGGCCGGGCTCTGACCCCACCGGTGCTGCAGGGCAGGGGGGAGCCTGGGGCGGGGCGGGGCGGGGTGACGGGCGGGGTGACCGGAGGGAGCCGGGCCTGGCCCCACCCACAGGCGGTCCCGAGAAACTGGCCGCAGAGGGGCCTTCAGGGGCGGGGGCTCCAGGTGGCAGGGGCTGCTTGCAGGGTGGGGCCCCCTTGGGGCTCGAGCGTTCTGACACTGGGTCCGAGGGATGGGGCACACCTGGAACCACTGGGCCATACACGGGGGGGGGGGCGGGGGGGGAGTGGGTCATGCTGCATGGTCGCATTCAGTAATGAACGGGGGTGGGGAGGGGCAGGAGAGGGGGGAGGAGTGTGACGGGCGGCCCAGTTCCCACCTCTCCGCCTGGACTTGGATGTGTGAGGTCTCGGGGCCCCGGGCCAGGCCGAGCCCCCTGACCGGCGGTGTCCCCCAGGGAGTGACACTCACGGACCTGCAGGAGGCAGAGCGGACCTTCAGCCGGTCGCGGGCCGAGCGGCAGGCCCAAGACCAGCCTGGCCGGAAGCCCGTGGGCACGGAGGGGCCAGAGGGCCAAGCCGAGAGGCCTGAGCCAGCCACGGCCACCGCAGAGGAGGCCGGGGAGGGCCGCCAGCCCTCGGGCCAGGGTCTGCGGGAAGAGGTGAGCCGTGCCTGCATGCCTGCCGTCTCTGCCGTCATCGGTCCCCTTCCCTTGCTCTCTCAGCGGCGTCCCGGCCACATGGGCGGTCTCGCGGTGTCGGCGTGGCTGCGGGGGAGGCAGCCTCCCACACAGACACCGACAGGCGGGCGGCTGGGAGTGCGGTGGGGCTGCCCCGTCAGCAGCTGCCCTCTGGGGGGCGCCTGCTTCCCGGCCCTGCACCCAGCAGCTCCGCGCTGGTCTCTGCGAACCCCGCAGCCCCCCAAGAGGCAGGGCCCCTGCGTGGCCCAGAGGGCTGGGGGGCTTGGGCAGGCCACGCGGCCAACAGGTGGTGGCGTGGGAATGCAGGCCACGTCCCGCCTGAGCCCAGAGCCCGCTGTGCCTCGTTGCCTCTGGCTGTGTCACTTGCAGACGAGGAAGCGTGCCGTCTCCAGTGCGGTGAGACCCCCGTCTCCCCCATCTCCGGTGAACCGGCCGCGGCTTCTTGCCGGGCCGTCTGGCCTCTCACCCAGGGGGTGCGCAGCGCCCTGGCGGGGCCGGGGGGCTGTTCTCAGACAATAGCCACGCTCTCGATTTTCCGACGCAGGCCCTTTGGAGCTTCACCCCAAAGAGTCACCGCCCTCCCTACTCCTGTTCCGAAATCAGGGGGGTTTTCGTCAGAGGCTGGTGCCGCCTGGTGCCCTCAGGCCGAGGCAGGAGCCCGGGCTGCTGTCAGCAGAAGGGACCCCAGGGGCCGTTTCCCTCCTGGAGGCCGGGTGACTCGGGCTCAGCACAGCAGCCGGGGCCGCGCGTCGGCCGCTGGCCGTCCTCTCGGTGCAGAAGAAGCCCGTGTTCAGTAAACCTGCTGCGTGCATGCTTTCGTGGGACGGGACCTCTAACCTCTCACCCTGTGGGTCCTCTCCAGCCTGCACCCGGCCCCCCGAGGGCTGCGGCCCAGCCCGACGAGCCCGCGCCGGCCGCGTCCCCGGCCGCCTCGGGGCCCTCCCTCTACACCAGCTCCTACCTGCTGCGGGCGGGCAGACCCTCGGCCCCCAGCCCGGAGCGTCTGGGGACGGAGGGGGCGGACCCCAACGGTGCGTAGAGCGTCCGGCAACGCGGCCCTCCCGGCCCCCATGCCCCCGCCCCCCTGGGGCTCACGTGCGCTCTCTCTCCGACCAGAGACCGAAGAAGCAGGTGTGGACGACCCGTCCGCTGGCGGGCTGTCCCTCCGTGAGAGGCGGCGGCTCAGGGAGCGGCGGAGAGGCACGGGCATCAGCTTCTGGACCAAGGACGTGAGTGGACGCGCTGGCGCCGCCCCGTGTCCGGCTCAGACGGCCCCATGCGGGGCCCAGGGGGCCGAGGGTCGGACCGACCTCCGGAAAGGGGGTTGGGGGCGGGGCGGGCATGGGACTCCGCCCTGCTGAGGCTCACGGCAGGGGCTCAGGGGCCGACGGCCAACCGTGAAGAGCCGCCTTTCGCGGCCTCCCCTCCAGCTGCCCTTCCTCACGGTCCCTGGGGGTGAGTCCCCGGCCAGGGCCCCGCCCTTCCTCACGGTCCCTGGGCCCCGCCCTGGCCGGGGTGAGAAGCGAGGACTCCGGGCACCTCCGGGCACCGCAGGAAGGAGCGACTCCCGCGGGTCCCCGCGGCTCCGCCCTGCTCCTTGGAGGAGGGAGGAGGGAGGGGAGCACCAGCCCAGAGCCAGCCCGGCCGTGCCGCTGAGGCCGGCACACCTGCACCCACAGCCGCACACACACCCCCGCCCACGTCGCCCTCGGGCTCTGCCCCCGCACCCGCACCCGCACCCGCCACGGCGCTGGCGCTTGGCACATCGGGCCCCTGGGTCCCCCGACTCCTGTGACCTCAGCTGAGCTGTTCGGGGACAGCAGAGGGCCGGGGTGGCTGTCAGCTGTCCACCTGGGCTCTGGACCAACCACCACGGCGCAGGACCCAGGGGCCCGCGGGCGCAGGCGGGGTACGGTCTGTCGTCCTGGAGCCCCCCCGCCCGGCACCGTCAGCACTGTGACAGCAGCGATGGCCCCGAGCCCGCGGGCCTGCAGCCACTGAGGGCGTCGACCCTGGGCCGCGCGGCGGGCGGGGTGCGGCCCTGGGGGCAGACCCTGCCGCCGCCAGCGCACCCGTGACCGCCCCCTCCCCTTCTCCTCCCTCCTGCCCTCAGGGCGACGAGGCCGATGGCTCTGAGGAGGCGAGAGAAGCGTGGGTAAGTGCCCGGCCGGCGGTGCAGCGTGTCCCTCACGGCCTGCTCTCGCGCGCGGCGCGCTGATGGGTGGAGGGTGGGCCCTGCGGGGAGCTGGGCTGGGGGCTGGGGGCAGGAGTGGGGGGTGGCTCCCACGGACCCCGGAGCCCGGGCCTGTTGGGCGCTGTCCACGCCCCCGAGAGGTCTCCTGCGTTTCCTGTGCCCCGCCCAGCCCAGCCCAGCGCGGCTGGAGGGCCGGTCTGCCTCCGTTTCTCTCGTGAGCACGTCAGCAGCTGTGGGACGTGCTGAGTGCTTGGAAGGGGGGGAGACTGGCCCTGCTGGTGGGCACCGCTGGCACTCGCCTCGTCTCCCTGGGCTCCTGCTGGGGCACAGGGCCAGCACGTCGGCGCGGACAGGCGTGTGCCCTCGGGTGTGCGGCGGACCGCAGGCCGCCAGTGCTTCCCGGGGGGTCGGGGACCCCAGGAGGCCGTGCCCCGGGGCGGGGGCTCGGCTCGCGTGGTGTTGTCCGGGTCACTGAGGCCGCCGCAAGTGTGACGTGACGGTGTGGCCCCTCGGGCGGGCGTCTCCGGCCGGGCCAGGCGGCCGTGCGCACCGGGCACGTGGCGGCCTTCCTCTCGCCGGGGAAGGAGGAAGGGGAAGCCCAGCCGCACGTGGGGAGAGGTCCGTCCGGTCCCGGCGCACACTGGCCCCCTGCGGGGTCCGCCTGCACCGGCGCAGCCCGGGCAAGGCCATTCGGTCTCCGTCTGCCCCCTGCCTCTCTGGCCCGCCACTGCTCCGCAGCGGGCCTGCGTGGCCCCCGCTGGGCCCCGGGGCCGTAGGGGGCGTGGTGAGCCCGCAGGCCGGGCAGCCTGCTCTGCGCCCGAGGGCCCGTCGAGGCCGGGCCTCCCGGGTTTGGGGGTTTGGGGACGACCTGGCCGAGGAACCTCACTTCACAGCGAGGGGGCTGGGGGCCCTCAGACGCCCCCTCCCCTGGCCCCGTCACCGGGCCGCGCACGCCCTCGAGGTGCGCACGGAGGACGCTCCACCTGTGCGGGGGCCCCGGGCGGGCGAGTGCTTCCGGGTCACAGCCGTGCTCCTCGTCCGCGGCTGACGCACGCCCGCGAGGTGGCCCTTTGGTCTGCCTGGCCCCTCGGGCGCCAGGCCCGACCCCCGAGAGCCGCGCGCCGGCCGTGGCCGAGGCCGTCGGACGGTCCCCGGGCCCCTGCGCGGGGGGAGGGCGAGGCTCCCCGACCTCTAGCCGTGCTGCGAGGTCACTCCTTAGTCTCCCCCAGGGGCGCGCCACACAGTAGGTCAGTGGGGCAGCGGGGGCCGGCGTCCACGCCTGTGTGTGTGTGTGTCCTGGACACACACCTACGGGGTCCGGGGGGTCAGTGTTCCGGCGGCTGTGGAGCGGGGGCAGGACGGGGGCGGGCCGGTGCCCCCACTCGCTCAGGGTCCTGGGAGCACCCACTGCTGGCGGGCCCCTGCAGGCCGGCCTCACTCCCAGGGCCCCCCGCCCGCCGACGCCCCTGGGCCCTTCCTGCTTCTCCCCGCGTTTGCCGCTCCGCCCAGAGCAGCCCCGTTCCGGGTTTTCCCGGCTTTGCTTCTGGCCGTGTCCTGGATTCTCCGCGCTCTCGAGCGGGGCTGCAACCTCCTTACGAAACCTTGTGAAGTCCCTTTCCTGCGGGAGGGGCCGGCCTCGTCCTTTTAGGTAAAGCCCCGGGCCCTAAGCCTCCCGCTCAGGCCGCTGCCTAATAAGGGAAGGAATGTCCCGCCAGCCGCCCTGCGCAGCAGCAGCGGCCACCGTGGGGCTGAGCGTGAGGACCGGGAGGGGAGGGGGGTCGGTGCTAGACAGGGAGGCCCCGTTCCCAGGGAGCAGCTCCCGGTGACGGCCACAGTCTGTCTTCAGACCGGCCCCTTCGGCCTGGCAGTGAGCGGACAGCGAGACCTGCCCTGCCCCGGCCTCTGTCTTCTCCCTGATCAGAAGGGGGCGTTGCAGGAGTCTGGGGCGGGCGATGGCACCCCGATGCGCATGGGGACCCATCTCCCGGCCCTCCTGGGGTGCCCCCTCGGGCCCTGGGCGCTGGCAGGCACGGCCCACGGAGAGGTCAGCGGGAGGGAGGAGGCCGGGAAGGACGGCCCCCGCGCCCCTCCCCCGAGTGGGGGTGGCCTGCGCCTCCCGCCCCCCAGGCTGCTCCCCGCCGTCTCAGAGCCGCTCCTGGGCGCCTGCCTTTTAAGGCTGTGACTGGTTCCAGGCCTCGCTGCCACCAGGGAGATGCGGTCGGCAGAGCTCACACCGCTCCCTGGGGACCCTGTGAGCCGTGGGCCCACTGTCCCGTCCCGCCCTGCTCCGAGTGCCGCCCCTTGGTCGGGGGTCTCTGGTCTCTGTCAGACGGCGCAGGAGGGGCCTGTGCACCACCCCACCTGCCCGGGCTCTGCTCTGAGGGAGCCTTGGGAGTGGGGGGTTTGTCAGCCGCTGGGGACAGTGCTGGGGCCCGCCGGCCCCGCCTCCTGCCTCGCAGCCTCCAGCTGCTGGCTGTCTCAGTGGCCCTGACCCCTGACCACCGGCTGGAGGGACACTGGGGCCGCTGGAAGCCCTGGTTGTGTGGGAATGGTGGCGTCGGAGAGCGCCGCACCCTGGCTCTCCTCGGCCGGGACCTTCGGGTGGCAGCTGTCTCACCGCTGGGGTCCTGCGAGGGCCACAGTGACGGGGCGGGGATGCTGCCTGTCCCCTGTGTCCCCCATGGCCCGGTTGTCCTGCGGCAGCACCGGCTCCCGGACAGCCATGGTGGAACAGCTCTGTTCTCTGAGTTTGAAGCCAAACGCGGTCGTTGTACAAATTCGGGTTTTCTGGCAGAGGGTGGTTCTGGCAGCTCCCCCACCCGCTCGCTGCTCCCAGGTGCGGGCCCTTGGGTGTCAGCCGCCCAGCCCCAGGCCCGAGGCGCCTTCCGCTCCAGGGTGGCGCCCCGGCAGCCTCGCGGGCTCCGCCGCTCGTACGTGAAACACGCATCCTCATGACCTGCTTTTCCCCTCTTCCTTCCCATCTCACTCTTGGTTTCCAACGACTTCAGCTAAGTTTAGTGTCTGTGACTCTCCCTGCAGGAGAGTCAAGCTTGGCGCTGGAAAACTGCCATAAAAGGGTTCTTCCTGCTCTAAAGGACAGGAAAAATTGTGCAGAGTCCCCCGCTCAGAAGACAGTGTTTGACTTTCTGCTGGACGTCCTGCTGGTTGTTTTCTTAAGTGTTCTGTTTTTTTTTTTTTTATCGTGTTCAAGGCCAACTAGTGGCTTTCTTACGAGGGGGTCATTTTCACCCTGTGTGTTCCCGGGACCCCCACCACCCTGAGGTCGCCCTCGCAGGGCCGGGGCGTCCACAAAGCACAGGGGCTCGGCCCTTCGAGGGTCGAGGGTCAGCCGCCCATGGGGTGATGGCCGACCAAGGCCGCCAGCAGGGACGCCCCCCTCGGTCACGGAAGGGCTCCTGTCCTCTGCCGAGGGTGTGGCGGCGGCTCGGGGTCAGCGGGAGGGGAGAGGGTGGCGGGGGCTCGCGGCACCTCCCGCCCCAGGAGTGTCTATGGGGCTGCCGGCGCGGGCAGGCGCCCTGGGAAGTGTCCCTGTGGCGGGACCTCGGCGGCAGCCGGTGCGGCAGAAATGCTCCGACGACTGGGTACGGCCTGCGGCCTCCCTGCCGCCCCCGCTGCCTGCCGGGCGGGGCCGGGGGTCAGAGCAGCCGCGGAGCGGTGCGACTTCCTTCCACGGAAAACCGTAGTCGTGCGTCCAGACGTGGCCCTCACGGCACGTAATGTCCACGCGGGCGCCGTGGCGGGGTGGGGGGCGCTTCTAAAAGTGCGTGGTGACGCCTTCGTCTTCTCACGCCTTAAACTGCGCCAGTGTTCCTGGGTCCTGGGAGGGAGGGGGCTCATTTAAACCTGCTGGTGAATTAATAGTTCTGAGGTTACTAGGCTGGAGTACGGGGCTGGCCACAAAAAAGTCTGTTTGTTTTTGTCCTAAAATAGAAGACACATTTTTTCATTTTCACCAGTAACTTCACTGATTTGCACATTCTGAGTATGTCGGCTCCCTCCCGCTATTGGCTGCTAGTGGGCAGAGGCCGGGCGCTGCCACCGTCTTCCGGTGCCTCAGGCAGCCCCGCAGCAGGGAGCTGTTGGGCCAAAGTGTCGGTGGTACCAGGGAACCTCGCAGACGGCTTCCGACGCGTCCGACCAGTCACAGCTCCTCCTCCGCACACTGCTCAGACTTTTTTTTGCATTTCCGTTCGTTTTTACCTTTCTTGGAAAAATAAAGCACAATAATATATAATAAGTAACTTACTAAATAATACACCAAAAACGTAGCGTACATTCCATTTTCAGCATTAAAGTGGCTGCATAGAAACTCACCAACCCCGACCACTTTTCCCAGAGGCACGCTGGCAGGACAGCGGTCCCCATGCAGTCCAGCAGAACTGTTTCGGGCGGAGGGGCGGACGCCCGGGCCCCACCGCTCCTGCTGGCCCCTCGGCCTCGGGCTGCCACCTCCCCGCAGGCAGGTGTGTCTTTGCTGAGCCCGGTGGCCCCAGGGCCCCGGCTCCCTCGGCCGTGAGCGAGGCTGTGGGTGTTGCGCCTGCAGCCCTGCCGGGGTGTGATGGGTGCGGGCCCTCCGCCCCAACCCTTGGGGCGTCTCTCTGTGAAGACCTCCGCAGCGGACGCGCCCCCTTGCCTCGTGGGCCTGCAGAGGGGCCCCTGCCGCATGAGACACTCCGACACCTGAACGCCCTGGCAACCCGCCCCCCCCCCCCAGCCGCCCTCAGAGGCCCCGGGCGGTGGAGTCAGGACCCCCGGTAAGCCCCTCCCACCCGCGCCCCTTAGACCAGCCCCGAGTCTCGGATCACTCTCCCGGGTTTCACTTCACAAAAGGGTCGCAAGGAGGACGGGGAGCGTGGACAGGGGCCTGCTGGGTTAGGGTTAGAGGGAAGGTGTGGCCGTCGCGTGGGGCGGGGCCCGAGAGGTCAGCTGGCGCTCTGGGG